CCAACAGTGGCAGGACCAATGACTACCTGATAATATTAACAAACATGCAAGGTTAACATGCAAAAGAAGAAAAACTCAATAAATAGAGCAATGCATACACGGCATACTATGAAGTAATACTTCCATTGTTGTAATATATTGATGCTTATAATTTTATCTACAATTTTATGATACAAACTTCTAAGTAAATTGGAAAAAGTTTTTTAGTCAAATTTAAATTGTATTACCTGATCTAAACAATCATATACTCACCAAATCCACATACATTTTGCCATTTGTCATCATTCATAGAGTTATATTAACTTCAATCGAATCAACCAAAATAGCTGCTGATTAATGAAATGCATTGAACTAGTTAGCAGTCATAACACAACAAGCTTTTTATATAGTGGCCTTGTTAGTTCACTTGGGTTAGTTCCTTATCGTCCAAAGTGCTTTATAGAAACTTGGTATTCAATTAAAAAATTCATGGGGGAAATTTAGCAAAAATAATGATAATATAATTAAAGTGAGGACGAATTCAATACATAACACTCAACTCCAATGTATTTACATATCTAAAACCTAAATTCAATTTTTAGATGCATACCACCAAACTAATGCTTGAAAAGACGTATTTCAGTTTTTTAAAAGTTAAAATGGTGGTATTTTTATGTGATATGAAAGATTTGGGTGGTATAAATGTAAGAAGTAATGTTCAGGTGTTAGATATGTAAATACATAAGAATTGAGCGGCATGTATGTAAATGCCCCTTAAAGTAAATCTTTCATAAATGATGCAAGCAAATAAACCAGATAAGCCAATAGGATCGACATAGAAAACATGCTTACACCACATTCAAGCCGTGGAAGCAAGAAAAGCTTTACCTGATCCCCATTTTATTATTATTATTATTTTTTGGATGGTAAAACGTTTTTGATTTTTCTGAGGGTGGAAATGTAAGTTAGGATAGATGGAAAATTTGGGATAATTTTGGTGATGTTTGATGGGCTTGGACAGTGAACATACTACAGGTTGTAAGCATTGGAAGATAAAAAAAAAAAAAATGAAGATGCTACAAGTTAATACTCTAGCCATCTTTAGCTACGTGGATCTAGAAAAAGTATATAAATATATATATATATATATCCAAATAGCTAAATATGGCTAGAGTATTAACCTGTAGCATCTTCAGTGTGTGTGTGTGTGTGAGCACTATTGGGAGACAAGTTGGTAGGTAGCTGCGTTGTTAGCCGTAAGACCCTTCTGACCTGGGTTTGATATACATGGACGGATAGCAGATAAGAAGAGCTGTATTCTCAAATATCACATTTTTAAATGTATATATATATATATGTGTGTGTGTGTGTATGTCCTGCGTGCGCGCGTGAGTGTGTGTTTAAATAGTGGTATATATATATATATATAAAGGAGAGTGCTTGCATCGCCAGCTTTGGCCTATTGGTAGAGTAGCCTTTTTGAAGAACGCAAGTCCCCTCAGGTCAGGGGTTCGAATCCCCCTCTGGTCAGTTTGCCGGCAGTGAGGATGGTCCTCGAGAAGATAGGAATTGTGAAAATAATCGCAGACCTCTGTAGCCCAAGATCACAAACAACACTCGGGGTCATCACTATTTGCTGCCACCAACCCTTATTTGCAATTGTTGTATTCCAAATACAGTTGTTGTGTCTAACACTTTTATTAAAGAACCAAAGAATAATAATTAGCCTCTATAGTCATCGAGCGTCGTTGATCACCACCTGTCAATCATTGGCGACCTCTGATTGTCTTCACCATCTGCTTCTGCCGATCACCCGTCTCTTGTGACCTCTGCATCCAACAATTGTAGTCAAATACGATTATTGTGCCCAACACCAATATTTTCTGTGTTGTATGAGGACAAGTGCAATTTTTTGTGTAAGCACTTACAACCATGTTCTTCCTATATACTTAGATACACATAATAGATTATTTTGATTGGGCTAGGCCATGTGTTTTTTTCTTTTTACCGGGTTTTCACATTTAAAATATTTTTCTCCAACTATTTTTTTATTATATATGTGTCATGGATTTTCGTGCAACAGTAAGACGTTGAATAATCACTACCGCCAAGAATTTTCGGACATGCAACAATAATAATATTAAATTGATTTTTATTATATTTCTTAATCCAACGATCATCAAAAGTTATCAAATAAAAATAATCACGCCACAAATTAAATATGATGTGTGATATGTAAATTTCATGCAATGGATCTCATAGTAGACCTTTTTAATCAATCCTATTTAAATTATCTATGCGAATAGTCTCAATAAATTTGAACACTCAACAAAAATGCATAGATTCATCTATCATGTATATATCACTGTTTGAAAGAAGAATATCTAATACTGAAAGAATAAATGTACTCTGATTGACCTTTTGATAAATGCTATACTTAAAAGTATTTTCATTAAAATTAAAAAAAAGTAATACTTTGACCAAATTTTATATCATTAATGGGATACTTGTTTGAGTTATACACGGATGAATTTTCTTAATTTGAGTACCAAATGTGCTAAACCTTTTTCAATGTTACCATTAAGAAATTAAAGTGATTACATTTGTCAACATATCCTCAGTTATAATGACCTATAAGTGTCATGATTTCAAAAGTCTTGAAATTGTTTATTTATTTATTAGCAAAACTTTTATCAACTAGACGAGTCTTACATTTTTAGCATTATATTTTGGATTTTATTGGTTTTGAAATCTATTTAAAACTGATTAGTTTTGATGCTTCAAATAATTAAACAATGTCTAAGACAAAGTTTGTTTTCATTGATTTCATACTCTTTTTAAGGTCTTCTCTTCAGAAATAAAACTTTTATTTTATCTTCACTTCAAACATATCAAAGTCATTGATATTGGTGTTGTCCTCAAAAGAAAAATAAATTCGTTGAGGTATCATAAAACTTAAAAAACCTTAACTTTTCCAAGGACCCAACAAAGAAATGGCTTATAGATCTTATTTATAGTTTCTTTCATTAGAATTTTATGGCCTCACCTTAGCTAAATACCCCTAGATATGAAGATGCTTTATAGTAAATTTTTTTTTATCTTCTATTAATTCAAGAGATTTTAGTTTCTATTTAATTGGAAATCCTATTAACGATAATGATTGTGCCCATTATAACTCTTTTCCCATAGTAATTATTATAAAAAGATGGATTATCATACTTCCTAACCATTCTTTTGTGTTTAATTTTATATTTCAACGGCACTCTTTTGGCTTGCATCCTTACCATAATGTATTGTGAAATGAAGTCACATTCAACTAATTTTTTTTAGAAGTGTCTAAATTTTGTTCACCTAATTCAATGTACTTATTATAATATTTATAATTATGAAAGTAATGGGAATTCTAATTTTTTTTCCAAGTTTCTTACTTTAGCTTCAAAGAACTGAAATAGTTCAGTAGTTCTAGCTACTCATGTATGAAATTCAAAGACTTATAATTATAATCATTAACAAAAAATAAAAATATTATTTAAAATTGCAAAATGTAAATATGAGTGGGTTACAAATACTAGTATGAATTAATTTTAAATGTTTTAATTTATATTGATACTAATGTTTTAATAAAGAATTCTTTTCAGTTAAAATAATTAATATAAGTTTTTAAAAATTGGAAAACTATAAGAACCGAGAATTTCATCTATACAAGTATTTCAATTCCTTACTTAAAAATATGTTCTAAATTTGAGCTACAAATGAATCAAGTTGAGAGATGAACAAGTGGTTGTTTAAGCTCATACATGTACACCAAAAGCTTCTCTGGTTGATGCTTTTTCAAGCATCAAGTTTTTATCGAGTCCTTGGGTTTTTTTGGGGCAGCTGTTACTGTTTGAAGAAACAGTTGTGAAGTTGCTGCAGAAGAAACTGTTTATCAGGAAATTGTGGTGGTTATTACAAATTTATTTTAATTTCAAAAAGTCAGATTGTATCTTTCTGACAGACACCACATTTTAATATTTTAGGTTGAAAAAAATAACTTTCTACCACCGAAATTGGTAAAAAACTGTAAGAAAATGTTCTTCAAATAGAATAGTGGTGGTGGTCTGAAAAGCAAATCAGACAGAAAGGTGTCTCAAATAGGCCCTTAATTTGGGTTTGGTTTGACTCGGATTGGACTGATTTTAGTACTGTTAGGTTTATCTCATCGATCTGGTCAGTTTGACTGTATGTTTGTTAAAATCGGAGTTATGGATGATTTTTAATCGAAATTTGAACTTATTTTGCTAAAGAAATTATCTCGAGAACTATCTCATCCTTGGGGATTTGTGTTGGATTATGAGAATTTGTTGAAGGCATATCACCTATAAACCTCTCAATTCCCAAGTATCTACATATCTAATTAACACCCAGATTTTAATTTTTACCTATAGATTTTGCCTTAATTATGCATGATAATATGCATTTTACTTTTTATAATTCATAATAGTGATTTTTTTTTTGGTGATCTGAAAGATTAAGGTGATATAAATGTAAGAAAAAGTAAAATTTATATACTAGATATGTAAACAAGTAGAAGTTTTATGGAATGCATTTAAAAGATTTTGCCCTTGTAAAAGCCAGTCAGTCGATATATTTCATTTTTTTCTTTTGTTTTGCACTATAAAATCAAAGATCGGAAAGTAAAATTGACAAACCATTTTATCCAAATGATTAAAAGCATTCTCTCCTTTTTTTAAGTTGAGCAATTAAAAAAAGTAACAATCAGCTGAATGAATCACCCCATCAATATCAATTTTAACCTTAGTTAGATCAGAATCCGTACAATCTAAACAAGAAGTGAAAACAGTTGAGTGAGTGAGTGATAAAGAGTATCCCTTCCGTGCGCATGCAACGCTTTGCTATTTAATAAAGGGAATTAAGCAAACTAGTCGCCGATTGCTAAGTATCTGATACCCTACAGGCCATATCAGTATAACAGAATGTCATTCAACTCGATAGAAACAAACAAATAATCTGAAGCTAGCGTATCGAATGGGTGAACCCCATGTGTTCGTCAACATCCACCCCATCCCCTCCTTCTGCCGCCATAAAAGCTTCATGAAAGGATACGAGGCCATCCACGACGCTATCCGTCGCAACGATGTGTTCTTCCTTCGTAGGTATCTCAAAGAACGGGCTCAGAAGAAAGAAGCAATTGAGGAGAGTTTGCAGAAGCTCGAAGGCCAGTACTACTCTGCCGTAAACCTATCAGGAGACCCACTCCTCAGTGTCCTCATCTCCTACAGGAAGACCGAGCTGGCCAACAAGTTGCTTGAAGATATGGACGAGGAGAGCCTTCTGGAAGCCAATCTGCAGGGGAACACTGCCCTCCATGTTGCGGCGGCCGTCGGCAATAAGATGATGGGAGTTGCTGACAGGCTGATCCGTAAGAATAAGGAGCTCCTGAATACGAGGAATAAGGACAACGAGACGCCGCTGCTGAAGGCTGCGTTGCATGGGCAGCGAAACATTTTTTGGATGATGTACGAACGTGGCGATCGTGACGCCATTATAGATGTTAAAAGGAAGGACGGAGCCAACGTTTTGCACTGCGCTATCATGGGCAATGCTCCGAGTGAGTTCTCGATCTTAAGCTTTGTTTCAGAATTAGCTGAACTTTCATTCAGTTATACGAACTTACTCATTAAAAAAAATTCATGTTTGGGGAATGAAACTTCTCCGAATGTTGCAACTTTTGAAGGAAATTCCCTTAATTTTGGCTGCCACCGCCTTGCCTGGACTTAATTGAGAGCAAAATGAGAGATTATTGTAATTTGGAGTGAGTTATATGTTCCATGTTGCAGGACTGGCATTGGAGATAGCGGAGAGTTTTCCACATCTAAGAAGAAGGCGGAACGCGGCTGCGGTGACTCCCCTCCAACTTATGGTGACAATTCCAGGAGCATTCAAGAGTAAATTGGAAATCGGACCGTTGGATTCCTTCATCTACAACTGTGAGAATTATTTAACACTCGCGCTCCTCCTGAAGAATATTATAAATCCTTTTAAAATAAATTTATCTTGATTGCGAGTAATTCTAATAGTTTAAAACCATCAGGTATACCATTTAACGAAGGAGACGGGAGAGGGAGTGGTGCGGCTTCCGCTATCGAAAATGCTTATGACCTTGGCCTGGTAACTTGAAATTGTACATATAAAATATTAAAAATTGTTTCATAATGAAATACAATAGAAATAAAATTGTGAATATAATATACTTCAAATTTAATCGATTGATTGATTTGAGATATTAAATTATATATATATATAATTAGGCAAAATGTAAAGCACACTAATATATATATATATATATATATATATATATATGGCACTCGTTTTATAAGAAATCTGACAAAATTTAAGATCCCTGGCTTTATGGGAATCAACTTTCAAATCTACAACCTGTCCTCCACCTAGGGTAACTTGCTTCTACATGAGCCACGCGTTCTATCATCGTCTCCAATTCTTCTCGAACTAGTACAAGTTCTTTAGTCTCCCTCAACTTCTCGTAAGCAAGCACTGATCCATCCTTTAAGGTCCTTCTATGTTTGGGAGATTGAACAACCT